ACATGAGACAAGACATGAGATTGGACATGAGACGAGGAGATGAGACATGAGACGTCAGACGAGACGTGAGATTGGACATGATACGAGGCATGAGACGAGATGTGAGATGAGATGCAAGACGAGACATGAGACAAGGCATGAGACAAGGAGACAAGCATGAGACGAGACGTGAGACAAGAAATGAGATTGGACATGAGATGAGACACAAGACGAGGCATGAGACGAGGCACTGTCTCTTATACACATCTAGATGTGTATAAGAGACAGGTCTAAGTTACCCCAAGAGCTGGGGTAACAAAGACCATCACTTTTTTTGAAATTACATAAAGACTATGAGAGGCAGGAGCCAGCAATTTATGGTGAGTGAAGCTAGAGTATAGACCTGTATTTTGCATGTTTCAATTCAAGTTTAATTTAGCTAGTAAAAAAATGGCTTCATTTATAAAAAAAAGTGGTCTAAGTTACCCCATTTTACGGTACCCATGATGTATGATCATTGTCTTCATTGATCAATAATAGTTGCTGGCTGTGTATCATCTTATTCTGAATTCCATTATCACTTATTATTGAATTCCTAATTTTGTTGAATTTAGATAGCTACCTCTTGAATAAAAAATGAAGTGCCTATAAAAATCTAATAATTTTAGACCCATACGGCCATACCTATCTTATTTATATGTTTATTCCTATATTAGTCCAGCACTCAAGCTTTGATATTGAAAGGAAAGTTTAATTTTTTATTAATAATTAATTATTTAACTTTGATCATTTGATGGTCTTGTGTTAGAGACTTGATTAGTAGAAATGGTATTGTACACCTAATTTTAATAAAAAATGTCGTATCACTAATGTCACTGGGTTCTTAAAAGACTGAAAATTTCTCATAAGACTGACAATAATTAAGAAAATTAATTTTTATAGGACTGAAAATTAATACCAAAATCTCATTGCTTCTAAGTCAGTTATCACATATTATATTGCCTCTGAATCTAAAGTACCTATATAAAATTATCTGGTGCCTGGTATGGTGGTCAGTACTCATTACTACTGGGGTAAAATTAGAGCTTTGTGTGTGCTTTAGCTATGATAATGATAGGCAAATGAGTTTGCAGCTGGGCAAATGAGTTCAGGACCCAAAATGGCTTTTGAAGGCTTTAAAACTGCATTCATGGCTCACAAAATGGACTCGTGGCTCAAAAATACCAACTCACAAAAATTGGGCAGAAGCCATCCCAGCCATGATAAATAAGAAGAAAATGTCCATGCTCAAAGTCTATTTCATCTGTTTCCTATGATTATTGAAATTAAATTGAATAATTTCTTCAATAAAAATTGTGGAAATATCACATTTTGGCCAATAATTTTTTAAAAACTCCTGTAAAATGAGCTTTTTCAAGTGTAATTTGCCAAAAATTCTGACCCATGGTCCACATTGGGATAAATAATTTCCCATCTAATCCTAATGTTTAATATTAGTGCATGATTAAGTCACAAAATTCTATTTGTGACAACAATATAACACCTTGAGTTTAAATCTGGCATGAAATATACCTTACAAGCCACAACTAGAGTTTACTCACCATTTTTGGAGCTGCAAGAGCAAGATTCCTGCTAGATGGATTATCTATCATCTGATTGTGCAAATTGTACAATCTGCCATGAAATTCCAAATGTAGAAGAAACTTGTAACTTTGCTTAGTTGGAATTTTCCTACTTTTGAATGAAGTCTCACAGCTACAAATACGTACAACATAATAGTAAGAGACCAATTCCCAATACATTTGGAATTTTGTAGCCCAATCCTTAGTATATATTTTGGATGTAGCAGTCCCAGGCCACAATAGATTGCTGCTTCTCATGGTAAAATTCCAGGAAGTGGTTGGTCATTTAGCTGCACCAGGACACACTTGAGGACAGGGGGGGGAGCAATTAGCAATACAATACCGTCAACCAGGGCAACTCAGGACGCACCTCTGACACGTCGTAAAACAGTCATAGTAGCGAAACTAATTGGAATATTGCTAAACTAAATATAGTGGCCTAAACAACAACATTTTTCCTATCTATGTAGTATAAAGGAAGTCGAAAAATACGACATATACTAGCTTTGAAAAATTCCTGAAAAAAATGGTGAAAAACGCTTTTTTGAAAAGTTACTTCTGCTAAGGTCTGTAGCAAAAAAAATATTTGCTGTATTAAAAAATTTTACTTACATAAAAGTTGCACCCAGGTGTCCGCTTGAAAACGTAATTGACAGATTTTACCTATCTCATTACAAAAAAAAAAAAATGGCGGCCATTTCCGCACGGCGGGGCTACTCGGGACAATGGCACCTTACGAATAGCATATGGAATTTTTTTGAAGATGCCATTCGATAGCCCTCGCAAAGAGCTATAAAATGAGCCTAAACTTGTTTATGAAATGTTTCATCATAAGAAGTTATTAACAAAAAACGCTCAAAACCGTCCCGAGCAGCCCCGGTTGACGGTAGTGCTAACTGTTAAGGAAATGGCACTGATTTGGGTGCTGGAGTGTTGTAATGCAGTCAAGGGCATCCTGCTCCTTTTCCAGGGTGTGCGCTCTTATTTGGCTGCTGCAATCCTATGAGTAAATTACATAGGTACATGGTCATTTAGAAGACATTTAATGATGATTTAAAATGCCATCATGGTGATAAGTAGTTTGTTTAGTCCATAGTTTGCTTTGATGGAAAGTTGACCCAATATTTGAAAGCAAAGGAGATGACAAGCAAATTCACCATGTCTGGTGAATTTGGTGAATTAGCTGGGCATTTGCTTTACAGTACTTATTAATCCTTATTGACCACATAATAATAATTAGAGCATGTTTTGTTGAAGTAACATCTCATTTAAGATGCACTCTGACATGACAGCAACTGCAAGGGCATCAAAAATTGTTGTGGGTGCGGTCACTGCACTGCAGAATATTTTGGTGCAGTGCAGTGATATTTTGGAGCAAATATCCAACACTGCAGGATATTTTGGTGGGAGCATGGTGCTGAACTGCAGGAGAATGAATTTGCAAGGCACATAATTTGTAAGCTAGAGTATAATTTTCATGGAATTATAAATTTACAAGCCACAAGGATTGTTTCTGATTGAACCAACATATAAATATAGATGCATAAATTTGAAGCTAGAGGATTCAATACCCACCACAATGATGAGGTAGCTATAATATTCTAGAAAGTAAATCTTCCATATTATTAGGATTTTCCAAACTTATGTAAACAATAGAATTTCTTATCTTTTGTCCTCTTTCTGGCATGGAAATTAGATATTTTCTGTGCACCTGATGGCATTCATTTTCCACCTGAGATTAGTTGCTGCACTCCAACAGAAACAATATGTTGAAACCAAAATTGAAGAAATATTTATGAGTAGATTTTAATGACTTATTAATATTTTTGACTATATCTCTAACCAATTATGTCTATTTCTGGCAAGCATTTTATGATAATTGTTGAAAATTGCTGGTTACTGGGCTCATCAAGCTCCTGTGTTTTCACATAATCCGCATTGCTCCACCGCTGTGTTTGTAGCACATTCACGCCTTAGCCTACTCTTTCCGTCTTAGCCATTTGGTTGTTATGGTGGCAATGGAGAAAGAAAGAGAAAAGCAAAAAGCATTAAGCTAATGTTTAAAACTCCTTCCTTCAGCGAGAGACCGGTATTGTTCAATATTAATGATATTGATCCCTATGAAGTGCTGGCACAACATTGTGTGCAGATTTTACAAGCCTGCCTCCCATTTAACATGGTGACTTAGTGAACTACTTGGTTTCAGCCAATAAACATTGCAATAACTCAAGGCATGCCAGACGCTTGAAGCTTTCAAGCTATTTGCAGAAGGATGGGTGCATGAGATATACACCCACAAACCTATCAGCTGCAACAACACTCATTGCTGCCAAGATGGGAATAATGGATCATGACAATGTAATTGGATCTGTTAATATAACTTTTTCTTTTCTCATATGTAGCTTATTTAGTGGCATGTAACAGACTTTGCCCCTGTAAAATATAAAGTATTGTGTATCATAAATATTCACAGCTGGTAAAATCAATATACCAGTACCATATGTATATCAGTACGATTCATAAACTGATACGATGTACACTGCTGGTAAACTGAAGAAATGTATTCCATTGTCCCGTTTTCTGTTTAAATACTTAGTCCTGACTCCTGAGAATGTCTGCTGCATCCAATCTTCAAGGGAAAAACTTTGAAAAGAGACAAGCGCAGTAGATTGAACATGCAGGCAAAAGCTAGACCATGCTACAAATATGAAGGCCGATCCTACAATGAATCTTGCGATTTGGTGCCGTGATGTCATTAGAGTCTGGTAGATTTATAGGACATAAAACTAGTATAGATCTATTGATAGTGCTGTGCACTGTGCTATCAGCTACCTATCTGTTATGTGACTCTTCAATGTCTAAAAGATCTGCCTTCCTGAAATGTTTTTGTATATTTAAGCCAGTTAAACGGTCAATATTTAGCTCATTACCTTGCTCCATACAAACTTTACAAAGCTAATGAATAGACTTATCAATAATTGTTTACACAAAAATCCCTAAGTGATAAACACCACCTTGGCCTGTTGGCCATTATTGAAGGCAATAAGTGCCCTTTTTAGCCATCCATTATGATCCATATACTGTTATTGTTAGTAGGCTAATTGCAACATAAAAAATAACACTTCAAAAAGACAAAAAAACTTAAAAAATCAAATAAATAAAAAAAATCATGAAAAAATGAAAAAATCATTGATTTTTTTATTTTTTTGATTTTTTTCTTTTAAATCAAAAAAAATCACCAAACGTGGTTTAATTATTGAGCATGTTATTGTAAGTTGCTGATTCTGTTTTGATTGCCAGTTAACCTGAGAATCAATTAAAAGAATAACATAAACCATAGTCATGAGTGTCTCCCAAACAGTCAGACCACATCCATGCAGGAATTGACTCACAATAACTTGCTACTCTCAGGTCCGAGCCACAAATCTGCAGGAGTTGGTCTACAAGAATGGCCAAGCAGGTGTTACCAAGGCCACTGTCACAATTACTTTTGACAACTCAGACAAGAAACAGAGTCCAATTGGATACGAGCATTACGATGAGGTCACCATCACTCGACAGGTGTGTAAATTGGATATGAGCATAGTAATATGGCCAACATCACTTAACAGGTATGTAAGCAATAGAAGTGACTTAATTTTATCATTGAAGATAATTATTTATTTTATTATTAGCTATTTATGTAGGAAAATAACTAGTTAACTAACAGCATCAAACATAAATTATAGTCAGCCATAAAATTTCCATTGATACTTTGTGATAATCTTATTCAATAGCTTATCTCTTTGCTGTATATACTTATCTTGAAGATTATCTATATAATATCATTATCTTATCTATATCCTTTGCTTTAGGATTATGTAGAGTCATGAGTCATTAAATTTTTGCAATTATCAATGAATATTAAGAATAAATAATTTTTTCCTTAATTGTCTAGGTTGTTATTGGAGGACGGAACAAGTATTTGATCAACGGGACAACTGTACAGAACAACCGCGTGCAGGACTTCTTCAGATCCGTGCAGCTGAATGTGAACAACCCCCACTTCCTTATCATGCAAGGACGCATCACTAAAGTGCTCAACATGAAGCCTCCTGAGGTAATATAAGCTAATATTTGGTGTTTTTATTGCTGAGTTAAATAACCACAGGGTACAACTATTAAATTCTACTCACCAGGTGCCAGTTCTTCCATGATAAGCAGCTGCATGAATAAAGAGAATTTAGTAGGTATGTGATCTTGATATACAGACCAGTTCAATTGAAACCTTGTGTTGAATCAAGAATCAGCAAAATTTTGAGGTTTGAATGATAATTTTGCTGGGAAATTTTAGTTTTAATTCATTTAAACCTCATTAATATCAACATTTGAAAATATTTTCTTCCTTGCAGGTTTTACTAAATGCTTTACATTGTCATTCTAATTTCATTTGGTAAAATTAGGATGCCAATTAACAATTTTTGGAATTTTTTGAGTTTATATTCCATAGACTTGCTACTGACTAATCACTAAATTTGAGCTTATTATTTTTTTTTTGGGGGGGGGGGGAAATTTTGTGTGACTGAATGTTTTATTATACCCATGAGTTTTTTTTCTGTTACTTGACCTAGAAATATTCTGTATTTTCAATCAAAATATAAATGTTATTTCTGACATGAATGTGTTTGGTAATTTTCTGTCCAATTCCATCTATTGTTTGGCAGCTCGCATTGTACCTATCTAAAATTTTGTTGATTCTATGAACACTTGACTTTGTCATAAAATATTCTGTCTGACTGAACGTAATACAAAGGAAGTACCGTGTGTGTTATGATCTTTTGTAATGCAGATCCTGGCAATGATTGAGGAAGCTGCTGGCACGAGGATGTACGAGGCCAAGAAGCAGCAGGCACAGAAGACGATTGAAAAGAAAGATGCTAAGCTTAAAGAGATAAATGATGTGAGAAATTAACAGACCAAATAAAAATCTTCATTCTTTGGTGTCTGTGATGGAGTGCACACATAAGTAGAGTGACTTAGAAAGTATTTTTGAATTTTATATAATTTCTTCCAAGATAATAAATTATAATTATGTAGTTTATAAATATAGTTGGCTATATCAGCTGGTTGTTAGGAAGATAGTCCCATCAGCCATTTGCAGCAAAATTAATAGTTACATTTTAGGATTACATTGACTCGGGGTGTTTCATCACCAAATGAAATGTTCGTACTGAGCAGATCCTATCAGAAGAGATCACCCCAACACTGAGCAAACTCAAAGAAGAGCGCTCACAATATCTCGAGTACCAGAAGGTGCAACGGGAACTTGAGCATCTCACTAAACTCTATGTTGCTTTCAAGTTCGTCCAAGCTGAGGTGTGTACATAATCTCCTAGGTATGCCTCCTACAATATATCTATGTCCACATGTCTGCTAATGAATTGAGGTTTATCTCCTATTAAAGTTGCATGCTTCTATAGATTTTATTGTAATCTTTTTTTGTGTGTTTGTGTGTGTGCAGAAGCTCCGAACAACAGCACAGACTCAGCACGATGAAGGCAAAACAGATCTTGCCAAGCTTCAGCAAAGTATTGCTGATGGCTCACGTCAAGTCTCTGAGCTGCAGGATCAAATTGCTCAACTTCAACAAATAAGAGACTCGGTAAGTGTTGGAAGCAAAATATGAAAGGTGACAAATTTGAACTGGTATTCCTGATTATAATTGAACATCAGGCAACATAAATCCTAGTTTTAATGTGTTTCTCCATGTCACAGCTTGAGAGATTTCATCAATGTTCCCATTGTGAGTTCTTATCATCCAATCTAATTCTAAGTCATCCATTATTTTCATTGGCTCTGAACTTGAAATTTGTTGTTACATTCTTATAGCTCCAGAAATGAAATGACCTTAATTAAGAAGGCATGTATTGAGCTGAAGTTTCATAACAGGAGACGGGTGGGCAGCTGCAGGAGCTGGAGAAGGAACTCAAGGAGAAAGAAAAAGCTGAGGTGCGAGTTGCTGCTGCTCTGAAAAGCCTCAGAGAGACAATCAAGGCAGAAGAGAAGAAGTGCAAGCAACTGCAAAAGTTCTTAGCTGAGGTAAGACATTATTATATTTTATTGACTTATAGAAATTCCGTCAATGTGTGTAGACCGGTGCTATAGAAGTTTTCGATATAGTAAACATTGTTGGAAAATCTAGAGACTGATAAATTTTGCCTAGGTACAACTTTGTAGGTAGGTAGGTACAACTTTGTACTAGCTGGCAAAATGTTTTTCAGAAGGCGTCATCTCGCAACGAGGGGTCATCATGCAAATAACGAGGATATTTTGTTAACAAATTTTACTTATCATGCATTGAACGAGGATATTTTGTTTACAAATTTTACTTTGAAATTTACGAAAAGTAAAAATTGAGATCTGTGTATGCAGGATGAAAAGGCTTTGGAGCAGAAGCGTGCAGAAGGCAACAAAGTGCAAGGCACATATGATGCAATGCGTGCTGCTGCTACAGTAAACACTGAGGCCGTGGCTGCGGCAGAGGCACGCCTGCAGGCCATCAGCACGGGCATGTACGCTTCACAGGCCGGTGGTGAAGATGCTACACTTCAGGACCAGATTATCAGTGAGTTCTTAGATCAAAACCCAGGCAGGGTATTGTAAAGCACTCAATAATTTCCTATCATTCCAATAGGTTGAGGTTTGTTTAATGGACAGTTTCTGTTCAGGTGATGGTGACCTAGTGTGAAGGAGTTTTGATTGAAGAGTTGTGGAGCACTCCTGTTAATGTTGATGTGGTGATTTACAGAAGCAAAAGCGGCCATCACTGCGGCCAAGACTGAGACGAAGCAAGCAGAGATGCGTCTGAAGCACAGTCGGGAGGAGCTCAAGCGCAAGAAAGTGGAAATGAATCAGACTGAGGCAGCCTACAAGCAAGACAAGGGTCTACTGGATAGAATGGAAAAAGAAGTCAAAAACTTGGAAGTAAGTGAATAACCCTCGTTGATAGATCACATAGAACAGTGGTTCCCAAACTTTTTCAGGCTGGCGTCCCCTTTGGCACCCTAGTGAATTTCTATCGCCCCCCACAGCCATACGCCTCTTTCTTGAAATTTAGTATGCTGCTATTTTAAAAGATGAAGGTTAAACACAAATGTGTATTTTACAAATAGAACCCCATTTAGTGAACCAATATGCTTTTCAGCTGTTTTAACCGTTTCAGCACTAAAAACCTAGGACGTCGCCGGCGAATTTACGGCCGGACTCGTGGCCGGTCTCGCGACCAATCTCTAGATTCAATTATCAAAATCAAAATAATGAACGCAGCTCTATGAAACTTGGAACACGTATTCATCAGAACCTAACGGTGATGTTTAGCTCGTAAATTTTTTTTAATTTCACCTTCATTCGTGAGTTACGCGTATATTGCGAAACAGTCCGAAATTCGCAGTGATCAAAGAATTTCTTCCAAACTATTGAATTGATTTGAACGGAATTTTGAATATACATTCCTAACTACCAAACGGTGATTTTTAAGCTTATGATTTTTTTTCGGTTTTACCTTCGTTTGCGATTTTTTTTTCAGTTCACCGTCATTCTTGATTTCACACTTCCTTATATTCGGCCCGTATCGCCGGATAATTTGTCACTTAAATTTGCGGCGATCAAGAAATTTCTTCTAAACTACAGAACAGTTTCCAACGAAACTTTGTATATAAATACCTAACCTCTCAACGGCGAAGTTTAGCTCTTGACAATTTTTTTTATTTTGCTTTCGTTCGCGAGTTATACAGACATAGGAGGAACGACCGGCTTCTCTACTGGCCGGTTTAACCAAGAGCCGTTTACGTATAGCCGAATACGTGTAGCCGTATACCGTAACTCGCAAACAAAGGCAAAACGAAAAAATTGTAAACATCACCGTTGCTGAGGTTAGGTATTTAAATACTAAGTTATGTTCAAATCTGTTCAGTAGTTTTGAAAAAATGTCTTGATTACTGCGAATTTAAGCACGTATTGCTGTTTCAACCACAAACGAAGGTGAAATGAAAAAAAAACTCGCGAACAAAGGCACAATCGAAAAAATTTTCACGAGCTAAACATTACCGTTCGGTAGTTAGGACTGTAAATTCAAAATTTCGTTCGAATCTGTTGCCTGTTTCGTTCTGCCTGTATTGCCATATAACTATGGCAAAAACAAACGATGGCAAAATTCAAATAATTTTTACAAGCAAAACATTATCGTTAAGTCCTAAATCGTTAGGTCCTAAATCGTTAGGTCCTATAGCAAAATTGTTAGGTCCTAATGAATACGTGGATCAAGTTAAATCGAGTTTAAGTTCATTAGTTTGAGAGATATTCCTTGATCATTGAATTTGGAAATTGGTTGTGAGACCGGCCGTTAATTTGTCCGAGACGTAAACCCAGGAGAGGTTAAAAAAAACAGATCTGGGTGAAAAAACCATCGCTGGGAGTCATATGCTGCACGTGTTGTGTACAAATCGTCTAACAAAAGTTCACTGGAGGGGCGGCGACGTGCCCTCAATAACGACGTCCGCAACCTGCAGGAGAAGGTGGATGCTCTGCTTTCCAGGTATGATTTATATAATGGACGCTAGTAACATATTCATAATTTACAATCTGCTACTAATAAGTTGTTCTTTTTAACAAATTTCATGAGCTGCTTTACCAATGCTGAATTATGAAAGGAATTACGTTGTAAAGTAGTTCTGAGATAAACTGCTGAGATATTTGTGTGTACATTTCTGTTTAACATTTACTTTATTTACTCTTTTATTTCTGCTTAATTTTGACCTTAGTGTCTTTGTGAAGTTATTCACTACCCTTTCACTGGGATTCATCTCGACTCTTATTTCTGCTTAATTTTGACCTTAGTTCTTTTTGTGGAGTAATTCACTACCCTTTCAATGGGGTGCTTCACGGCTCTCGTTCTCACAGATACCCTGAGCTGAACTTCAAGTATCAGGACCCTGAACGAAACTTCGATCGCTCCCAAGTGAAGGGCCTCGTGTGCAAACTCATGAAGCTTAAAGACCCGAGCGCTGCCACGGCGCTCCAGGTCACTGCCGGAGGCAAGGTCAGACGTCAGGATTTTTCCACTAGTCATTGGTATATTTTCTGAAGTTTTAGCATAAGAATTGATTGTTACTCACGGCTGTAATGTGAATGTGTTAATTAATCGAAGCACTTGTCTGTACAGCTTTACAATGTGAATGTGTTGATAGTAGTACTTGTCTGTGCAGCTGTACAATGTGATTGTGTCTACGGAGGTGGTTGGTAAGCAGCTCTTGCAGCGAGGTCAGCTGCAGTCACGCGTCACATTCATTCCTCTGAATAAAATCACAGCGCGACCTATCGATCAACGCACCGCCGCCCGCGCCCAACAAATTGTGAGGATTACGATTGATTCTTGATCATCTTAATAAAAATTCGTTCAAGCCTTGGCAGAATGGTGAATCCTATGATAAATGACTACCGTAATTGTCCGCTCAAATTGTAACGTATACATGTGAACCATACCTCCTGTTAACCACTTTGTTAAAATATTTAATTAATATTTTTCTTCTGCCTACCAATCGACTTCTTGGTTCGTTTGCCACATCTTGTGCTAGTAGGTTGTTCATATTTTTCTCCTGCTGATCTTTTGACCTCTTAGCTTTTTTGCCGCCCATTGCCGCACTATCATTCTCCTGTAAACAAATTGACTTTTTGGTTTGTTTGCCGCGCCTTGTGTAAGTAATTACTTCAATTTTTTCCTGTTGACCAATTAAGTGGTTGTTTGTCAGGGCGGCAAGGACGGCGTGCAGACTGCCCTGTCTCTGGTGGACTATAACCCAGAGCTGCAGGCCGCCATGGAGTTCGTCTTGGGCGCAACGTTCGTGTGCCGTGACATGGACGTCGCCAAGCGCGTCGCCTTCGACGAGCGCATCTTGAGGAAGTGCGTCACCCTCGAGGGGGACGTCGTGGATCCTGCGGGCACTCTGTCTGGAGGTGGGCATACTGTCTGGAGGTGGGCATACTGTCTGGAGGTGGGCATTCTGTCTGGAGGTGGGCATACTGTCTGGAGGTGGGCATTCTGTCAGAAAAGAAGCATTCTGTTTGGAGGTGGGTAGCATAGAGGTGGGTTGGCTTCCTGTCTGGAAGAGGGCATTCTGTCTGGAGGTGGGTACTCTATATAATGGTGGGCTTTCTGTCTGGAAGCGTCCACTCTGTCTGGAGGTTGATATCCTGTATAGAGGTGGGCATCTTGTCTGGAAATGAGCTTTATGTGGAGGTAGGCAAAACACTAACTAGGCCTAAAGCGATCCTCACCAATACCTGTTATTTATTAATAGTTTTAAACGAGAAACAATTAAAATGTTTGTTAACGGTTAAATCAAACCGCAGCATCATGAACTGATGTGATGTGCCTTCACGATTTACTAACTTAATTATTAGCATTATGGTATTGATATGAGAGGCTATGTCTCACATGTTGTAAGTTTTAGAAAATGGGACGTAAAATTAAGAAATAAATCATGCATTTCCCTAAAAAATTATTACACATCATCATCAAATAATTCGGGAACCAATGCCATTAGTTGCTGACAGTTAATGAAACGGTTAATGAAATAACATTTTCCAATTCCACTTGCTCCTTGAGGCTTCTCTATTCGTCACCAGTTGCTCATGCTTCTTTTTGGGTTTGTGATTTTGACCAGCATTCGCCAAATCTCAAAACCTTGTCAGATAAATGGATTTTTCTGGATTCCGACCAGCAGTTTTGCTCAAGGTCTAACAACAAATAACTTATCAGTCTACAACAGGTGAAATTTGGCGACATATGTGAAATTTTCATGATTTTCATGAAATAGCTGAAAAGAAATTAGCAATACCTAGATTTTGAAAAATCGGTAAAAACTTGAAAAAATTTTTCAAGTTGAAGAGTTAGAGGTAATAATGTCAAAATGACTAGTTGTATATTGCAATACATCTAGATGTTTTTTTGATTTTATAAATGTTCAGATGGTTTAACTAAGACTTGACTGTTCAGATGAGTGCATTGCTATTGTGTACATTTAGATGCGTTTTTTTGCTTTTATAAATGTTCAGATGGTTTAACTAAGTAATTGACTGTTCAGATGAGTGCATTGCTATCGTGGAGCGATGCAAGCAGCAAGAGCAAGAAGGAGAGCATCAGGTGCAGGAGTTGCTGGGCCAGATCAAGAACGCCAAGGCATTGAAGGAGCAGCAGCTCAAGGAGGCCACCAAGCATCTTGAAGCCTGCAAGAAGAAGGAGCTAGAAACGCGGCAACAGTGGGACACTATGAAGCAGGTGAGACTGGGGCTATCATTCTGGTTTATGATTGCTATGTATCTTCAACCTTCCTATATTTATTAAAAATAGTTACTGAACAGAGGCTTATATTATGAAAAAATAGTTAATACATTAACTGTCTCAGCCAGTTATTGATTGCTTTTCAAGTGAAACCCACTAATTACAAACTCGAAATCAGCCACTACCTGTATTTAAGCGCTTTGATAGTAGGTCCACTGTTGTTTTAAGTGACCTTGCTCGTTTAATTTTGGTGAACAGGAAGAAGAAAGTTTAAAATTGGAGGTGCGTGAGCTGGAGGAGAGCATCAGCGCTCAACAGCAGCAACTGCAGGCGTCAGCTGATGTGCTGAAGCAATATGCTGAGCAGCTCACTGAGAACGAGGCGCAACACAAGCTTTCTAAGGCGAGTCTAAAATTACATATGGTGCATTGAAATGATTTTACTTACCGCTTAAGTTCTAAAATTTACTACAAACGAAATAAATATAGACTCAAACGCGAGTCTATAATAGGTATTACTTGATCCTCTGAAATAATCACACTAAGTGCTGGTGTTTACAGCTTCTACGTAAAATTAATATAGACTCTACTTCTTATATCACTAATTGCTTTGAGCTGATTTCACTTGTAGCTTAAGTCGAAATATTTTCTCTTGAATCCAATAATAATGAAAATTTAAGTTATTTTTCTCGTGTAGGATGAAGTAGAATCAGCCTTGGCCGCCGTAAAGGAACAGAAGCAGATGCTGGCGGCTCAGAATAAAGAAATAAATGCTAAGTTGGCCCAAAAAGATGCAATTCTGAAGGCAGGCAACGAAGCAGAGCTCGAGGTGAAGCAGCTCGAGCACAAGCTCTCCAAGCTGAAGACAGACGCCAAGGAAGCCGAAAACAAGGTTAGCTTTTGATTTATTCTATGCTTAAGTTATTTTAATGTTTTATGTAGATTGAAATCTGGACAGGAACCTATTGTTATTGTCATTTTTTGGTTTGTATTTCATTATTTTTCCCTAATTTATTGTAAAAAAGAATGTTTGGCTTAGTTTGATGTTGAACTGTGGTTTATATAACAAAATATTGTGGCTACTGTTTCGTCATTAAATTTATTCTATACCGTTTCTCTTTCACCGATGTGACAACTGAATTTTCAGCTTATTTGAATTTTGTCTTGCTTCTGTAAGACAGTTACTAATTAAGATTTAGTTCTGCGCTATTCATTCCTTAATATTGTTGATGTTCATTCTGAGACTATTTGAATTTTAGACTTTTTCGTCATTGCTTGAGAGATCACAACAGATTTTTGTGCCGTTCTGCTACTTCGAAATGTAATTTATCTTTCACTGGCTAGGTGGCCAGCATGCTCACCAGTCACGAGTGGATTGCAGAAGATCGGAAGTTCTTTGGTCAGCCTAATACTGCCTACGATTTTGAAACGAACGACCCAAATGAAGCTGGTCGCAAGATCTCGAAACTTGAGGAGACCAAAACTAAGCTCTCCAAGAACGTCAACATGAGGGCCATGAACATGTTGGGCAAAGCTGAGGATCAGGTTATTATTTATTTCCAGAGATGTGTCTAATTATTATCCTATTTTTGCAGCATCTATGCTGGGTGGCTTACTACATTACCGTTCAACTCAATTTATACAATTGGATATTCAAATGGTACAGTTGGAGCTAATTTTGGATAGTATAAACAAATTTCAAATCTAATGCAAGTTGAAGATTGGAATTGAATTATTTTGTATCATACATAGGAAGGAGATCTACCCATGTTAATCAATTTATAAATTTGTTTAATATTTTGTCTTGAAACAGAAAATGTGACAACCAATTCTTATCTAGCTGGTGTGCTTTGCCTACAGTACAACGACCTGATGAGGAAGAAGCAAATTGTTGAGAACGATAAAGCCAAAATTGAGACAGTCATCCGTGAGCTGGACGAGAAGAAAAAAGAGGCTTTAAGGCAGGCCTGGGAACAGGTAGTTGCACCTTAGGTCTAGAACCTGATAACTAGATGATTATATACTGATTGAGCTTTATAATATACTTCTTGAACTTGATTATGAGCTTCCTTGTCTTGAATACTTTTGGACTTGACTACATACTGCTTGAGCTTGATTAAATACTGCTTAGTATAATAGATGTATCACACATGTGTGTAAAGGGAAGGACTATCAGATCACTGCTTAGCAGATTATAGTTGATAGAAAATCTGTTTGCTCCAACGAATATTCAAAATTTATACCTAGGTTATAATATTGACTTGTTGTTTAAGAAATTAATGATTAAGGAATTGTTATAGGTATATGAACTGTGTTTACAGTTTACACTGATAAGAGCTGATTAATGATTGAAATGAAGGGAGTTTTCAATTAAGTGTAATTGTATTAATAAGATTTTTATTTTGGACACTTGTGTATTCTATTTGAATGCTAAACTGTAATTTATTCTCATAGGTGAACAAAGACTTTGGATCTATTTTCTGCATGCTGCTGCCCGGCACACAAGCCAAACTGCTGCCTCCAGAGGGGATGGATGTGCTTGACGGGCTGGAGGTAAACAAGTTATTTACAGTCAAACATTATTTCAACCTGAAAAGTTCTTATTCATTCTTTGAGGATTACCAAATTTTATAGAACTACTACGCACTCTCGAGTGCAATAGGCTTTAGAATACCTTTTATGATATGAATTTGAGTTCTTTCATTGTTAGCACTGTAGTTGGCGATGCTCAGTAATGAATGATTGTTATAAAATTCTGGACGTTCAGTGTCATATTTTTTATGGCTATCAGTTGTCTTTGCCTGATGCCTTTGGCTCCAGATGCAGATACCAGATACACATCTCTTATTGAATTTTAATTATTTCAATTTTTGATCCGTTTCTCCTTTAATTAATTAATTTTGCAAGCATCAAATCTCATTTCTACTGTCCATAAACGAGTGTTAAATTGTGCATACATCATGCCATTGAAGCCACATTATTTATTATTAAAGTTTTCTCAGATAAGTTGTACTGGCATTGTTTAAAAGTCTTCGATGACCCAACAATATGCAAGCTAATGTTTGACAGATGAATAATAATTATAATAATGCTAACGGTACTTGTGTAACAGGTGAAAGTGTAATACTTAGTAATAATAATAATGATGATAATATTGGTAATAATGGTCGATACGTTACAGGTGAAGGTGGCATTTGGAGACGTGTGGAAGGAAAGCCTGACTGAGCTGTCTGGAGGCCAGCGCTCTCTTGTGGCGCTGTCCCTCATCCTGGCGCTGCTGCTCTTCAAACCTGCCCCCATATACATCCTGGACGAGGTCGACGCTGCGCTGGACCTCTCGCATACCCAGAACATCGGCCACATGTTGCGCACGCACTTCAAACATTCCCAGGTGAGAACATCGGCCACATGTTGCGCACGCACTTCAAACATTCACAGGTGAGAACATTGGCCAAATGTTGCGCACACACTTCAAACATTCCCAGGTGAGAACATTGGCCACATGTTGCGCACGCACTTCAAACATTCACAGGTGAGAACATTGGCCACATGTTGCGCACGCACTTCAAACATTCCCAGGTGAGAACATCAGCCACATGTTGCGCACACACTTCAAACATTCCCAGGTGAGAACATCAGCCACATGTTGCGCACACACTTCAAACATTCCCAGGTGAGAACATCTTGATCTCACCAGAGAACGTTCTGTTGTGAGCTCGTTGAATACGCAGCCTTCCAGTGCTAGATCAATGAATATCATCAATGCTTTCTGTGTTTTAATAAGCCATTTCAACTTCGCCTAAAACTGGCTTCTCATTTTGTTTAATATATGTTTCTTTTTTGACAGTTAAGCACTCGTTACATAACCGGTAGTATTGAATGTTGAAAGTACATACGTGATAAAACTGAAGAATATGTGGAAATAAGCAACTAAACAAATATTGAGTCCGAATCTCTGACCATCATTGCAATTTAAGCTTATAATGTGTATACATTTTCAAAGCAGTAAAGAAAGACACAACAAAAATTCAAGCATGCAAAATAACACCAAGCAGGAATGTAGCCTTGACCATACGCCTGTTTGTTACAGTTCATCGTTGTGTCGCTCAAAGACGGCATGTTCAACAACGCCAACGTGCTCTTCAAGACTAAGTTCGTTGACGGCTCTTCGACAGTGACGCGTCACACGCAGCAACCTAGCAACATGACACGCCGAAAATAACTCATTTCATTGTTTTGTGGCCTGTACATAACAAATTTGCACTAATAAAACGAAATTTTGTACAAATGGAAATGCATCTCATGACGCGCTTATGTGTTCATCCTTACCAGGCTTGACTCGGCATTAAGGCGTTAAATGCTACAATGAAAATCGTGTTTCTATTCTACGATATGAACAAATAATTTCTCTGAGTATGTGCTTGTATAGAAATCTCAACTTGCTTCAGTACACATCGACGCACACAAGATGGTACAGATGATACCTGCTCCTTTAAGATCTATTTTTCATCATTGATTAATGCTTGCATTCCAACGACTTTACATGAATATATTACTCATTTTCAGTTATTTACGCGAAGTGTGAGTACGGAAGAATAGTTTTGTTTAAGAAATTTATGATTTTATAAATGTTCTTCTGACGCAAATTAAGTGTTGTGTTGTTGGAAGTCATTTAATTAGGAACGGTTATGATTGATTTATCGCCCGTAATTTGTATGTGCAAGTTAGTTGGAACTAAGCTATGCAGTTAAGTGATAACATTTCATGTTTCGATAAGTGTAGTAAATATACCGTACTTGAATTGACATTTGTTCAAACCTGAATACCGCTAAATATTATGTGCATGTTGTTCTTTGGACCCTGTCATGTCATGTCATGTCACGCCATACCAAACCATGTCACGTATAGCGTATGTAGGTCCGTAGTTAAAATTCTGGCTAGGGCAGGTGCTAGATCAGATTCTGATTGATGTTTGCATGTTTGTCTCGGAAATTCTTTCGAACTTATGCCCTGCGATGTAACTTACTTGAAATGTTCAAAATTTGGACAGTGCTATTTGCCTCGCATGCCATGACAGCTCCATACAAAAAAAAATCCTAATCGCCTATGCGGTCCCTAGAAGTTTGAGGCTTTCGTAGTTCATAGAAGGACAAGGAATCCACGCACGCTATTGATATAAACGCTGAAATATTGACGAGCTGTAATGGATATGAATCCTGTATCACTTAATGGCGATGTTTTCGGAGCCCTGGAAGATTATTTATGTCGCTCCATAACGGAAGTGATAGAAATAGGCCCACAGATGCAGAATGGCGGATGTAAATTCCGATATTACGCCCAGGTCTAGCAAGCGTCTAATAGCACGACAGCCGTTGGAGGATAAAATGATATAATAGATGGTTTCCTGGAATGCAGTAACTCCTCAACTATTCCAGGTGTTACGTTTCAGACCTCGGCCGCATAATGTAACATTCGGGATGGGGAATAGTTCAACTGATAGTATTTATTATCAATAATTACAGTATAAATACCGATGTATTTCATTTTTTCTGAGCGTTTACAACCCATTCTCAGACTTTTAGTTGCCCTTCTAGTTCCGCGGGATGTTTAAATATGCTGATCGACTTCCCCAGAAACCAGCAAAGATCCGCGAATGAGTTTTAATAATATTAATTGCCAACCCTCGATGAAGAGCAGCTGCGTCAGGTGAGGAGCGATTAAGCGAGAGATTATCATTATACGAAGTACTGCTGCTCGTGATTACATTTGGCATGGCCGCTGACGCGTCAGTGGCAACATTCAATTACGGTCGTGTAGGGCTGATCACTGATCAGCATGTGTGTTTGACGCGTACCAGGAAGAAATTCGTTCTTAAAAATGTAATATGAGTTAGGGAAAATGTCGCCACGCCACAAATCAATGAGTAGACCCCAAAACTAACTTTTGTCAAGGAGCATCAAGAAGCTAAAGTTTGAAATGAATAATCATATTATCAGTGGTGGGCAGTAGCGCGCTACATTTTCAGTAGCGGTAGCGGTAGCGGCTCTACATTTAAGGCAATGTAGCGGTAGCGGTAGCGCCCGCTACATATTTAAGTAGCGATACGAGGTTTTGCCGCAACAGTGCTACCGCTACATTTATAGATAAAGCCTTTAGATTTTACTCAAGGGGACCGGCTACCCTCCAACAAAACTTTTTTGTTTACAGACGGATCATTTTGAAACTTGGTACACATATGTAAAACAGAAATCTAAGACCTTTTTGTTCATGTAAATTAAAAAAAATGAAAGAAAACGTGGAAATAATAGAAAACGGCAAATAAGGGGTACTCTAAAAAGTTTATAACTTTCGCAAATCACATGCTACAATGTCGAGACACATATCATTCGATTTGTAACAACAATATCTAGCGACTGTAGAGCCCCGATTTTTTATTTTCCTCGTCGTTTTTTTCGCGTTCTTCCCATTTTTTTCACATTTTTACCCCCCCACCTTCCTCCCTCTCCCATATACAAGTCAAACCATGCACATATTACAAAAAAGCTTCTAGAGTTGCTAGGTAATGTTTTTACAAATCGAATGGTATGTCTCTCATTGCCGTAGCTTGAAAACTGTTGGAGTTATAATTTTTTAAGATGGCGTTTTTTGGATTTTTAAATTGTTCAGGGGAGCCAAATAAAGTAAAATTCATTGAAAATAGAAGATTTATTATGCCCAAAAAGTCTTGATATTGTACCCCAAGCTTTCCCAGTGCCAATTATTTGCATTCAAGGTACCAGCACGCGTCTTTAGACCTATTTAATTATGTTCAATTTAACGTGAATAATAGGCTATAAATGGGACTTTTTATATATAAATATATATATAAATATTAATTTTACATAACTTTACAACTGCATTACGCAAAAACTATTGCATGAACATCCATGGTAGTAGCTTTGTTAAACGCGTCTTGTTTGTAGCTTTCAAACGAGTGCAAACACTTTGCAATTAACCTAAATAATGACATATAAATACCCTTTTTTATAAATAATGATATAAAATGATCATTTTATAAAAGTTCAAGACTGCATAGCACAAAAAAGTATTGCATGTACATCTATGGTAGTAGCTTTGTTGAACGCGTCTCGTTTGTAGCTTTCAAACGACTGCAAACACTTTGTAATTAACGTGAGTAATGATCTATATATACAGATTTAATTCAAATAAATTTTTGTGCATATTGTTAAAAAATGTTCATATATATATTTTTAAACTTGTCTTACGCAAAAATTATAGCACGCACAGACATGCGGTAAACTGCGTTAGACGCGCCTTTTCCGCAGCTACAAAATGAGTCAAGAAAACGGTAAAGCCAAAATTTCCGATTTTTAGGGTAGCGGGTCCCCTTAATAGTATTAAATATTATTTAAAAACCAGCATGATCCCAATAGCAGAACAATAAATATTTAGAGATTTCAAATAATTTTGGCTATTGTAGCGGCTAATGTAGCGCGCTATATTTTAATGTAGCGGTAGCGGTAGCGCCCGTTACAATCTAGTTGGTGTAGCGGTAGCGGTAGCGCCCGCTACATTTAGAGCATGTAGCGGTAGCGGTAGCGCCGCTACATTTCCAAGTTGCGCTGCCCAGCTCTGCATATTATACAGCTCAAGGGAATGCCTTATAACTTGGAATTTGAACTGCTTTCCACACGGCGAGTGTAGAACACTAAAGTAGCTTCATGCTGGGCCGTATAGAACGTGTCTCTAGAATCTAGATTCTAGATCCTAGTGCGCATACAATTGATCATTAAATGAATTTTAATCGCTAGTAAAAATTTAACGTACGTAATAAGTGAGACATGCAAACGAAGCTTACAAAATGGAAGAGCATTACTTGCTACTAATCGACCATTTTATTTCGACCAAACAGAAATAATGTTTAAGTTAGTTCACACCAAACGATCGTCTGAGGGAACTTCGGTAATTAGTTCTTAGGAAGAAATAGCCGTTCTAAACTCCATTAAATGATTAAAATGAAGAATATAGATGTTGTTTTCTGTCACTGCAAGCTCAAGGGATATTTTGACATGGACTGTGCAGCCAGAAAATGTTGCTCAGGACATACCAGCGAGCATACGCGCGTGGCAGGTATCAGGCGCGTGTGAACCAAGTGGGTGTGAACCATCAAGTGAGTGTGAACCATCAAACTCGTGTGAACCAGCAAGCGCGTGTTCCGAACGCGCATAGGCATCAAGCGCGTGCGTGTCGTTAATAACGCGTGAACCATAAAGCACGTGTTCAGGTTTTCATTTTTTTTTTTAAATTCAAGAGCTCCTTCTACGCACAAGCTCCCAAAAATGTGAACGGAAGAAAGCGAAGAATAAAAAGCTCTCCAGTCGCGCTCAGTGACTGAAAGATTGGGGGCAAGCAGAGGCAGGCGTCTCTGCTCCGTAGATTTTCTAGAAAAGTTAAGGGGTTCCATCATACAAGAAGGGGGCTAAAGAAGTGGCCCGAACAGCAAACGCCCGCGCCGTTTATTCAAATCTGACAGCTTTTTGCCCGGCCTGGTTTTGAGAGCCGCCGTCATAGGCGGAAATCATCAGCATCTTTGCAGGAGTTCAACGGAGTTTTTTTTTGACACTTCGCAGGAACGAAGGCTTGTAGCTTCCTGACGTTTTTTGTGCTGGCTGTATACGGAATACCTCTGTGGCGCCAGAGTGAAGTCATTGGAATTCCAGGCTTGCTTCAATAGAATGGTTTTTCTTGCACCAATCCTTGGGTTTCACTTGCGAGTTTTGCGTCACATAAATCATGAGTGTGATTGCAGCCACACTCCCCCTCCACCGCCGTCATAAGAGGGGGAAAATGTGGGGTGTACAATGCAGCAAGGAGAGAAAAAAAAAAGAAAAATTGCATGGATTTCTTTAAAGTGGCGTGGAGAGGCAAACCGAAGAACGAGGGGAAGCTGTTTATGGTTTAGATGGAGGAAACGACGTTCAGCCAGCACAAAATAAAAAAAAAAAAACTTATTTCATCCGCATCTTTTACTTAACAGTCATAAACTTTTATATAATATACGTCGAAACTTGCACTTTAAGCAGCTGATTTGATCCGCGTCGAAACGCTGTCATGCCAACACGAGTTCGTTGCCTGACGTAAGTTTAGAGTTGGTCGACTAAGCTAGTCAGTATTCAACACATGGCTGCCACTGGCAGTAAGGTTCCCCAGGCTCAGATCTATCAACACCAAGATTTCCCATGAGCGCGATGATGTGAGGAATTATGATGCGTAACTGCCCGCTGTGGCTTGTGCTCCAGCACGGATTCCGTACCTAGTGAGCATTCCAAATGTTCGCGCATTGGTAATGTTTCCTCAATGTTAATCATTGATGGATTTTGGTGGCAGTAGTCGGTTATTGATAACAATTGACTTATAGCAGTTGAACTTATAATTTGTTCCTAATTTCTTTTAGATCCGTTCTCAATTTTGTTCATATAGTATATCTCAAAAAGTAGCGTCGTGAAGCATAAAAAGTGGCATTTTGTGGACATAGAAAGATAGTTTACGTTTATGACTGACAGGCTCTACGCTGTGCCGCTGCTGTGCCGGTCCTTACTGAAACGATGACTGGATCCTTTCATTGAATAATAATAATAATAATAACTATAATAGACAATAGAAAACAGCACATTCAGTAAGATCAGTAGCCTAATTCACCTAAAAGAAATTTTAGATCTACTATCATTCTAGTTAGATGATTTCGGTGACCTTTAAAGTTCTATATATAAAACTGAATTGTAATAGCAATTCCGCATGCACTAAA